CAGCAGACCGAAGGGCCGAATTCTCAGCAACACTGCGGGGGGGGGGGGAACGGCCATATGGACGACGCAGCAAGGGCGAACGAACGACTGGATGAATAGATCCAGCCAGCAGTGATCCCCTCTGCCGACTCATTCTTTCTTATTTTTCATTTATTTTAAGAAGGCACAAACGAAATGTCGCGACCTCTTGCAGTCCTCCAATACGGTGTTCCTACTCGCAACGCCCGCGACCTTCGACCTCATCGAAAAACCCGTTCGTCATCAACCCGCCCTCAGAGTGTCTGTCGCCAGGGACCCAAGACCCGTCATGGACCCGGACGCCTACCGTACCGTCACAACGGGCGTGGCGCCCTTCTGGGCCTCCAAGTACGCGCGGGAGTCGTCGAAGAACTGGGACAAATTCTACCGTCGCAACAAGACCAACTTCTACCGGCACCGGCACTGGACGACGGCGGCTGCCACGGACGGCTTCGCGTGTCTCGCGCAGCCGGGCGCGACGCCAGACGCGCGCGTCGTGCTGGCAGAGGCCGGGTGCGGCGTCGCCAACTGCGCCTTCCCGCTGCTGGAGAAGAACGAGGCGCTGCACGTGTACGCGTTCGACTTTGCGCCGGCCGCTGTGCGCCTCGTGTGCGAGGCCGACGAGTTTCGCCGCTATGCCGGGCGGTGCCGCGCGTTTGTGTGGGACTTTTGCAAGACGAGCGTGGAAGATGTGCCTGCGGAGGAGCGCGGCGAGCTGGCGGGTGGCGTCGCAGATTATGTCACGCTGATCTTTGTGCTTAGCGCCGTCCCCCCGGACAGCCAGCTGGCTGGCTTGAGACACCTTTTTGCGCTGCTCAAGCCCGGGGGGAAGCTTTTGTTTCGCGATTACGCTACGGGGGATATGGCGCAGGCTAGGTTTGCAAATAGGAATAGGATTGCGGACAATTATTTTGTTAGGCAGGATAGTACCTTGTCCTACTTTTTTGAGGATGACCACCTTCACGCCTTGCTAACTGAGGCTGGGTTTGAGAAGGAAGAGATGCGCAGAGTGGATAGGGTCATAACGAACCGCAAGGAGCAGTTAGAAATGCGCAGGGTCTTCTTGCAAGCCATCTATGTAAAGCCAACTGTCGATTGACAACAACCCACTTTTTTCACTGCCCAAGGCACGGAATCGGTCCGCACACTAGTTTTGTACTGCATATGTGGTGTCGGGTCGGTCGAGTTGCCGCGATCGTATCACAGGGGGAGCCCAGATTGTGCATCCGGCTCTGCGCAACGAGAAGGAAGGGGGGTTGAAGCTCAAGCTTTGTTATCTGTTTAGATCTCTGATAAATTACCATATCTTTCCCTGCGACCCCCCTGCAGTAAACGTCCGTCCTAACAAGCATTCTCAATTCCTAATCTAGACTACGACTTCACCAAAGAATACTGCCCACACCCCACACACCCCTACATCGCCTGTTTTTCGACACTTCTGCCAACTCGCCCGACCCAAAAAAACAAAACAAAAAGGAGTCGACAGATTTTCTTGACAAGCCAGTCCCCATACGTGATTCCGCACCTTGTAACAGCAATACAAGAGGGTATCACTTGTGGTTCCGGGGCTGTCAATCAGCAAAAAGAACTTGGCGGATATTTTAAACTGACAACGATCAGTCGATCAGTCGACGGCGTCCCTGGTTGGACGGACGCAAGTCGCAGAGAGGACCAGAGAAGGCAGCATCTACCTGCAACGGAAGATTCCACACACCCCGCCCCCCCGCCCCTCCCTCACCCTGCCCCGCCAGTCTCGGCCCTAACTCACTCGGCCGTGTGACAAGCAGGTCACATAAAGCGAATCATTCCAATCCTCTCTAATCTTGTGAAGGGGCCCATGCGACGTTCGTGTACATCTCTGCTCCTCACCATAGCTTAACCCGCGTGACAAGACAAAGGCGCACTGTTCTTGAGTGCATGCGACAGCAGTGATCATAAAGTTTTCATCCCAGCGTGCATGGATCGAGTGCGAGGGATACTGGAAGTCGAGCTCGACGCACTGGTCCTTGAATGGGGCTCCCCGAGACATGACAACGCACCACTGCATTTGGAAGCGGCCCTGAGTGGCGATGGCGGTAATATAGTAGTCCGAGTTCCATTTCTCGGCGATCCACTTGGACGGAAATGTGGAAGCGACAATGTACGACTGCTGCTTGTACTTTCTACCTCTCTGCATCATGGAGCAGACGACGCCCCAACAGTTGTCGTTTCCGGCGACCGAGGTGATAAAGTACGACTCTTCCCATTTCAATCGAACCCAGTCGCGGGGGAAATCCGAGTCGTGGCAATAGTGCAGTGCCTGTTCCGTATAGCCCGAGTTGCGGGCGTTGAGGACTGCGGTCCACATATTGCCTGCAAAGTTCAAGCTGGTTATTCTCATGCCCTGCCCCCACTTGCGCTCGACCTCGTTGACCAAGTTGGAGTAGGAAGGGTGCGAGGTGTAGCACTGTGTGTTGGGGGGAGA